AGTTTGTTTTCAAGTTTTCAGACGGACAGAAGTTCTGATCTACACGCATTTCAAACGTTTATTAGACACGTTTTGTAGATTAGGTACGAGGTTCAAGATTAAAATGATTGTAAAGATACTGTTGATTAGATCATATACATGTTCCTACAGAAAGTGTTTTAAAGAAATGGTTTTCTAAATAAATCGTGTACATCGATTTAAAATTTAAAAGAGAGTGACAGCGTGTGCCACCAATTTTAGAAATGACCCAACAATAAATTGTGCCGAATCCTTTTATAGACACTGTATACATAAATTTGAATAAATAAATAAATTTGCAAAATGCATCTGAATATTGATAAATCTGAAATTCAAAACCCTAACCTCCATCAAGAGTTATTAAAAACTGAGTTTGACCTCCTCTTTCTTTTCTCTCCCTGCAGCTTTCTTCTAGCCATTACTCGGATAACAGAAGAACTGCATTTGTTCTGAACTCCACTGAAACTCTGCTAGCACGCTAGATCTGGAAGCACAACCAGAATTTCTGTTTCTCGTGATGTTAAAAACACACCCCAGATCTATGGACAAACATCACAATATCCAAATCCAGATATCACAAGATGCTAAACCTTATACCTGTGAAAATGAAATAACACACCATGAAGTCACACTTACCTCTGATAGGAGCATTTCAGATTTCTATTATATTCATGGGTTATAGTCAAAATACAATATCATTCTCTAATAAACCTTTCTTCTGAACACAAACTTGCAGGGCATAGAAACAACCCGATACGATCACAGTATGACCCAGGTGTAGACGGCTTCTGAAGAAGATTCATGTGGAATATATCTAAAAAACGTAACAACAGAACGTCAATGAAACATTGATTAATCAAGCTTTTTTTTATAATATAACTTAAAAATGGAAATAAACTGTTGTTGCAATATATCTATAAGCAGTGTTGTGGAGTAACTAGTTACATATAACGGAATTACGTAATTTAATTACAAAATAAAAGTAATTGTAATCAGTTACAGTTACTAAGAAAAAATGTGTAATTAAATTACAGTTACTTATGAAAATGTTAAGGATTACAAAGGGGGTTACATATGTTTTTTTCCACACATACTCCCACATACAGATTTAATTGAGTTGCAGTGACTACTCTAAAATGTGAAACACCAGTGTTTCAGAAGTTTATAACATGCTTATGTATATGCTTTATTTTTTTAAGATTAACTGTTTTTTTCTAAGGCATTGTTAGATTCCAGTGTTTCCTGTCATAGCTATGCAAAGATTTGATTTCAAAAACAGTATCATAGCTATTAAACTATTTATTGTTATGATTTTAAATATGTATTTAACCTCAGAATGATTTTAAAGGGTTAGTTCACCCAAAAATGAAAATTAGCCCATAAATTACTCACCCTCAAGTCATCCTAGGTGTATATGACTTTCTTCTTTCAGACGAATGCAATCGGAGTTATATAAAAAATTGTCTTTGATCTTTCAAGCTGATTAATGCCACTCAGCGGGTGTTGCATGCTTCAGTCCAAAAGAAGTTAAATAAAATGCGCCCATCCATAAAAAACCAAAGGCCTCCTGTAGCGAATCGATGTGTTTTTGTAAGAAAAATATACATATTCAAAATGTAATAATCATTTTAATGTAGCTTGCGCCAACAGTTGTACACGGAAGCAGCTCCGGGCAGATGACGTATGAGGTCAGCTTTGTGCATGCGCCGCTCAGAAGTGATGAATGCGGAAGCGCAGGGGAGAGATCAAAACAAAACAACGGTCACTAATTAGAAGTACAAAACGAGGATTTG